AAAAAAAAGACAAAAAAAAGAAATTGGACCCTTACCTTATACCATACATAAAAATCAAGTCAACGTGGATTAAAGATTTAAATGTAAGACCTGAAACTGTAAAACTCCTATAGAAAATATAGGGGTACATCTTCTTGACATTGGTCTTGGCAATGACTTCTTGGATATGACACTAAAAGCAAAGGTAACAAAAGCAAAAATAGACAAAGTGGAACTACATCAAATTAAAAAGGTTCTGCACAGCAAAGAAAACAATCAACAGAATGAAAAGACGACCAATGGAACAGGAGAAAATATTTGCAAACCTTATAGCGTTTCTATCTATTACAGTACTTCTCTCACCGTTAATAAGTAAATGTCAGTCTCCTCCCACAAACTAGGGTCAGGAACTAGGTTTATGTTTATCTCTAGATGTCAGTCAGTGCCTTGCAGATTGCCTGAAACTGAGTAGACCTTCAATAATATTTGCTAAATGGGTGAATAGTCACAAGTTCTGGCTGTCTAAGGAATTTCATATAATTAAACTCAAAGTACATCATTCAGAGATAAATAATACTCTCATAACTCAATAACGGCAAGTTTGCTTTTCCCTCTTACCTCTTCATTTTGTACATAAATTTCTAGCTAGTTAGACAATCTGGGATTGGGAGGAGAATATCTTTCTTAATTTCTAAAAGGGGGCCCTCAAACTAACTCACTACCACAATGGCCTCAGTAATAAGTAAAAAGTACAATTACTTGGGTTCCACTACTCTCGGGGCACCTATTATGGTCACATACAAATTAGGACATGAACAGCATAGAGCTTTTGCTTATTTTGACCTGAATTCATTATTTTGATCTGACTTCAAAAATCCATTTTGTATTCTTGAGTTCTCCCAAGTTCTAGATCTTTAACTGATTACTGGACATTTTCCTCAATCCCACCTCCACCCTCGTAAAAGCTGATCAATATTGAGTTTATTCCATCTTGGTTTCCTATACACAAAAGTCCTCCCCATCTTTCAATGTCCAGCTCAAAAGTTACCACATCTAATGCTGCTCCAGGCCTGTTGTTCACTTTGCGGTCCTCTTAACTGTCCCACCAAAGCATTTGCAACCTTGCACACAATCTCCAGCTAAAGCACTTGGAGCTTCCTGAACAATCATGCTCTCTCCCATTTTCACACTTTTGCAGGTTCTGTTGCATCAAGCTAGCATGCCCTATCCTCATTCTTGCATTCTTATATCATAGAAGTTACCAAACCACTGTAAATGTTGAAATACACTGTTATTTGTCTCTCTCAATAGAATCTGCATGCTTGTGGAAAGATACATTAAAAAATTTTATACTCTATATCTAACACAGTGCTCAACAAATATGTGATAAATGGGTGAATGAGTGCTTGAATGTGTAATTAGCCTAAGTTCCTAAGGTAAGATAAAAATAAACATAATAATGGTAAAATGGTTGAGTCACTTTGGAAAACAGTTCGGCAGTTCTTCAAAATGTTAAACATAGAGTTTCCATATGATCCAACAATTCCACTCCTAAGTGTATACTCAAGAGAAATAAAAAGATATGTCCTCACAAACTTCACAAATGTTAATAGTACCAGCATTTTTCATAATATCCCCAAAGTGGGAACAATGAAATGCCCACCAACTGAATGGATTAATAAAATGTGATATATCCACACAATGGATTATTTTTTAGTAATAAAAAGAAATGAAGTACTGATACATGTTACAACAGGGATGAGTCCCGAAAACCTTATGCTACGTGAAAGAAGCCAGACACAAAAGTCACATATTATATAATCCCACTTATATGAAATGTCCAGAATAAGCACAGAAACAGAAAGCAGATTAGTGGTTGCCAGGAGCTGAGGGGAGAAGGGAATGAGGAGTGATTGCTAATGGGTACAGGATTTCCTTCTGGAGTGATGAAATATTTTATACATAGCTAGTGGTTACAGTTGCACAACTCTGTGAGTATACTAAAAGCCACTCAACTGTATACTTTTAAAGGGTGAATTTTGTAGTATATTAACTATCTCAAAAAACCTATTATTAGAAAATGAACACAATAATGAGAATTCTCCATTTGGTCCAGATTTTTAATCAAGGGCTTTATCTTTGAAATCACAACACAACTCTGCTGCCTAGAACTTCCTAATCTTCTATATTGATCAATTATAGAACTAGAAAAATGTTGGAACATTAAAAGGTCATTCTAAATTAACCCCTTCCTCACCTTACAGGTAAGAAAACTGAGCTCCAAGAAGGATAAATGACTTAAACAAAGTTATACAACTAGTAGTGAAACCAGGGAGAACTCATTCTCAGTCCAATGATTCATCTTTTTTCTTAATTGAATTAACATTTTCCTTCCTAAAATTCCCAGGTTCTTTTTTTTTTTTAACTTAAAGGAAAAGTTACATTAAAAAGAAGAGGACAGACCTATTTATCTTTCATATTAAGCCTAGTAACTATTACGAGATTTTAGGGGATATTAAAAAAAGATTAAGAGAAAAAACTACTGCACCTTTCTGATTCTTTCAATGAGAAAAGGCAACTATTAGTACTTAAAGGTTTTACTCTTAAAAGATAATACAACATAAGTATTCACAGTAATAGTTAAGGATAGCAACAAAAACCACTCTTTCCCCTAGGGAATGGAAATAGACACTTAGCAAAGATGCTACATATGTGGAAATTTACATCCGAGCCTTCAGAGAGATGTCAAATTTAATCCATAGGAAAATGTCTTTCAAATTAACACTTTCTAAAGTTCCCCTTTGAGACCCATTTTTTGGTGGCCTTTGTATGACAATGGCAAATATAGGTGCAATAAGTAATTTTTGTGATACTTATTCACTCAGGAGATTTTCTATGAGAGCAAATATTTTCTTTAAAGTTCATATTTGTCCTTTTCACCAGAAGCAACTTTTAAAGGGAGGAATTTTTCATTTGTTTCTACCAAAGGGGAAAAAATACTAAGTTTCGTTGAACATATGATTTTTTTAAAAAACCATCATTCAATGTTGACCTTCAAAAGCTTATACAAAACATCAACATACAACTTATAGCTAGGGGGTAGCTCAGTAATTATGTAGTCCAGTATTTCCCTGACTGTGTCCACATGTACCTGCAGATGGCATTTCAGAGGAAGTATGGGGAGTTGGGGGAGCAGAATGGGAGGGGAAAGATAACCATAACAACAAATATTGTTACACACTCAATTTAGTTTAGGAAGTTCTGGGTTAATTCAATAAATATTTAATGAGCACCAACTATGTGTCAGACTTTCTTCTAGACGCTAGAGCAAAACATATTTATGCCAGGATTTCTTAGAGCCTCTAACATGCTACTGTTTACTATGACTAAGATGACCATATGTAGTTTGCCCGGACAGCTCCAGTTTACCACTGTTTTCTCAGCATCAGTAGACCCCCTTTCATTCCTGTTATCAAACGCATGACTCTCTAAGTTTGAGGGGTGTGAATATAGTGCATAGATTTTTCCTAAACTTACATGACCAATGAAATACTTATATTTCCTATAGCCATCTCCTAGAACAGTGGTCTACAGAACATGGTTCAGGAAATGCTGACCTACTCCATCCACTCCATTTGATAACTGAGGAAACTAAGGACCAGAGATCTAAAGCCTAGGACACCTGGCTCCTATCTCTGATGTGCTTGCCAATACCTTGCAGATTGCCACAGATAAAACACTCAAACACAAAGTAAAAAAGTCTTATTATTGGATAACAAGTATTATGTATTTTCTCCTATTACAAAAATAAATCACTCAATTTTACATGCTGATTCCAATTTAAATAGAGTTTAACTCAAGTTTTTTCTTTTAAGATCATAACTATAAAATTAACCAAAGATGGAGTCAATGAGAAAACATTACCTTGTAGTCAACTCTTTAAGTTTATAAGCCAAGTTTACCATTTCCTATTCTCTGCTTTTCTTCCACTCACTCTGGTGAATACAAGGTAACTGATTTCTTCATATCTTCAAAGCCTCACTGGCCTCATAGGTGTGCTTGGGGCGTGGGGGAGAAGCTAATTTTATCAACTAACAACTTTCTAGTACAAAGAGTTACGCTCTAATATTTTCCTCCCCTTTATGGTTCCAAGTGTCCTTTAAAGTAAGGATGCTACTTTCTTGGGCTATTTGATACCTATGAAAACTCTAAAGAGATGAAATTACAATATAAGTCCCTTATTCTTTCTGAGTCTCTACAGGCTTATTAACAAAGGCTATTTTCTGATTCTGGATGCACCAAAGATATGGCTCTAGAAGAAAATCATGCAAAAAATTCTGTCTTTAAAAATCAGTTATTCACATTGTGGATCACCCATGGCCATTCCTATTTCTAGCTAACTGTTAAGCATTTTAAGTAACTTAGGTAGTTCTTTTAGAGAAGAGGGAGTGAATGATTATAGAAATTTTAAAAAATAAGCTGTATCTTAGGAGCTAAGACATATCAATAGCCTTTTCTGAGGGAGCAAACGGTAGAAAATACTAGTTAAAACAGGGTTTAAACTCCTGGGAAATTCATCTTCGTACAGTATATCTTTTTGCTCATGACCAAGAAAAGGGAGTTAATAATAATAATAATTAAATCTTAGACAAGATAACCAGTCAAGTCGGTGAAAAGAAAATTACAAGGTGATTAAGGCAGAAGAACATTTCTAGAGAGAATCTGTTTTTGGATTTGTAGCTGGTGATATGAGAGAGATGTGACAGAACAGCCTTCTCCGAATCAGAATGGAGGTTGTAATTGTGTTGCAGAGCTTTGACTTTTAGAATATAGCATTCTTTACTGTGATTGGAAAAAGGAGGTTTGCCCATGATAATCTATCATTTGAAGTAATAAACTTACTCAAGTCTAACTACTGTGCTCAATTAGAACCACCTGTTTAAAAGAAAAGGAATACGGATACTGATCACATCAAACGTTTTCATTGAGAAGTTGACAAGGACACTCATACAGTTTCTCACCACTGGCCTCAGCAGCTTTCCTGTGTATGAGCAGCAGAACTACAGGCCTTTTTGTATAAGTTCCTGTACATCTTGTCCATGCTGTTCTCAAAGATGGGTCGGTGAGATTTCCCTTTATAAGAGGCTGCCCTGTTGGACCAGTACTCGCCATCATCCAAATGGAGAGTGCCACGTGGCTGCTGAAATGAACTATAAAAAAGGATATAAAAGATTAAAACAATGAGGAAACAAAATGAGAGGTAGTACTATATAAATCAAATATTTACTAAGTACTTTATAGGTGTGTGGTACTCTGTTTGGGCTTTGAGATATAAAATGTGACAAGGCTTATGCCTTCAAAGAGTGACACTATTTGCATGCAACAATTACAAAACAATAAAATGAAAATGGTATGTGAGAGTTAAAAAGAAATTCTGAGAAGAGAGGGAGGTGCGGCAGAGTAAAAGCAGGGCACAGATGGTATGGTATGGCCAGTTGTGAGAGTGCTTGGCCTCTGAAGTCAGGCAGACCTGGAACTGAATTCCAGCTCCGTCTTTGTAAGCTGTGGGAACCTGGGCGATTTATTCAATTGTCCAGGGTCTCAGCTTCCTTTACTGTGTTTCGGCAGTATTGTTGTAAAAACCAAAGAGGACATATGTAAAGTGCATAGTGCACTGCTCACCTGGCGCACAAAAGTTATTAAATATAAGGCATTGAACTACTAGGTACTTTATATATATTTATACATATTTATAAAAAATCTTACAACCCTCTGAAGTGAAGTGGTAACTGTGGAAACTGAGACTCAGTGAAGTCAAGTGACTTGCCTAAGCCTCTTTAGGTAGTAAGCGGCAGAATGGAAAAGGATACCATTTCTGTGGCTCTAATGTCCTTTCCACTGTGGCATGCTATTGTCCTCAGGGAGGTGTAGAAAATTCGACTGAATATGAATCACTTTTAGAAAACGGAAAACAAGGTGGAAGAGTCTGTATTTGAAGCGATAGAGAAATACTGTTATTTTGAGGGTGTTGAAGAAAAAAGAGAGAGAACAGATGGAAGCTATAAAATAGACCAGGACTAGGCTCATTGTAATGGGAATAGAGAAGAAAAGGCAACACTTTCTGAAGGCTTGATAGTGCTTTTCTTTAACTTGCTAGAAATAAAACATTGACTTTTCAAAAGACTGAGTTTATTTTATTTTTTAAACAAATAATGAACCCACTTTAATAAATTAAGTACTTGTTATAGATAAGACCTCTCAGGCATGTTAGAGATTATGCCATATAAAGCTGTATGTCCTTGCTATTAAATGTTACAAATATTGACTTCATATATTTGGAATCTCACTCCACACAAAACAAACAATTTCCTCCCTGACTTATCGGTCCCATGATGTTACTTGTGAACTGTGAAATAGCAACTCTGGGAGCTGGATATCTGTGAAAAGAATCTGCTATTTCACCTGAAGTCAATCTACCACCTGAACTCAGTAAAAGTGGTCACAAAAAAAGGCACAAAGTGGCTGTGTTATCATTCTTAGAGCTTCCCATAGCTTCCACCTTTCTTTCATTAGCTTTGCTTAAGAAATAGTCTAACCAACTGAATACAATGTCTTTCATACAATTTCTCACCAAGCCTAACTCCTGCTGGGACAGTCACTCAGAACAGTTTTTTGGACAATTTGAGTCAAGTGATAGAGAAATCACACACACAAATACATTAATAGAACTTCTTCTGCATGTACTTTGTACCTCTGCAAGTATATCTACCAGCCTAAGTCCCCACATTTGCCTCTGTTCCCTCATACTACTTCAGGAGTCCCACATGTTGTGTTTTGTTTGTTTAGCTGTATTTGGTTTATTTGTTGCTTTTTTTGTTTTATGTCAAGTCATGCACTAATTAGTATTTCACAAAACACAGCTCTGTCCTTAATCTCCCTGTTGTCCACAGTCATCAACTTTACTGCATACTGATGGTCAGATGATAATGTTCTTTTCTGAACTCCATATTTTGCCGGGCTAGTTCTACCACAATAAACCTAGTCAACAGAAATTTGAATTTTTATTAAGCTACTACCCAAATCTCAGAAAGGTAAGTAATAGTAGGGCTGCTAACTTTAAAAATCATTGTGTAGGTTTTTCTGAGATTGTAAATCAAATTCCTAATCCCTATCATAAATTATCATATGAATGAATAAGTGAATAAATAAAATTCAGAAATCATTTTAGGAGCAACTGTGAACCTGATAAGGGTCTGTGAAAAAGAGCTAAAGTGGCCAAAACAGACATCCTAATGCTTTTAAAATCTTGCAAATTTTGACAGGAAGTTTATTTCTATTTAAAATTGCAAAATTTTCAATTTAGTAAACAGTACTGTAGTTCTCCGGAGAGAATTTGGGAATTGGCTCTTCCTAGAAGTCTGAACTGCGAAACAGAGGTGTTTGCAAAACAGAGGTGTTTGCAGAACAGGTTCTAATACGCATGGACAGGTACAAACAAAGAGTAGCAGAATCTTAAAAGCAACATTTACTTCTCGACATGGAAGTATTTGGCTATCTAACTAATAAACTGTGAACATATTGAGTCAGTTCTGATTTTCCATTATTGGGAATATTAATAAGTTTACAATGTGTAAGCGACACTTAAAAAGTCTTATTATAGTAATGGGCTTTTAAAGACTACACTTCTGTATTTTACCATGAGTATCTCCAGCATTCATTCATTCAAAGCATTCAAAGTTCCTCCTCTACAAAACACTGAATTAGTGCTATATAACGTAAAATGGTTATCTTTAAAGCAGGGATAAAATTGCTATTTTATTAAATGCAGTACATTTTTTGGCAATTTACTTTTGCTACTTGAATAGGGAGCCCTCTATTTAATAATGACAAAACTATTAAGAAAAAAAAAGACAAAAAAACCAGAGACCAGGATAATACCTGAGAACCGAGCACTTTCAAATCTTAAATGTTGCTAAGGTATAAATTATAAATTTATTTTTTAAGGCCTAGCATATATACAGAGAAGAGAAAGGTCTCAGGTAGCTTAACATGGACTAGGATACTAGTATTTTGCTTACAGAAGGTTAAACTCACTTGAAACCCTGACAGTGTTTTCTATATCAGTACGAAATGAAGACCAAGTACATACTACTTTACACATAGTTTTCAGATAAAATATCTATAAGGTTATATACATGAAAACGAAGGTCAGAGGGTAAGATGGATATGCCATGCAAATAATATTAATTCTAATAAATAGCTGGAAGGTCATGAGAATAAAAAAATTGGCCATTTGCCATTTGTACTCAAATAATCAGAGTTGAAAATGACATTAAAAGATGATGATGCATATTCTATACTTTAAACTTGTGATCTAAGATTCAATATAAAGACATAATATAAGAGATGAATTCCTTCCCATAATACTCTATAAAGGTTCCTATCAAGCACAACTTTGACAAAACATGTAGAATAGTACTGAGGACGTGATGTATGCTCTATAGACATTGAATGGATGGATGATGGATAGACTGACGGATGGATGGATGGATGGAATGTAGGAAGGAAAATACTCAAAATCTTGGAGTTCAGAATAGATGATAGGGAGAGACTAAACTATGGTCTAATAAAATCTGTAAAGCATTTTGTATCTTTAAATATACCACACAAAGATAAAATGTCATTAAAGACATCAAAATTTACTGATAAATTATAGCAGTAATTCTCAAACTTTAACACACATCAGAGTCATCTGGAGGGCTTATTACAACTCACATTACTGAGCCTCACCCCCAGAGTTACTAATTGAGGATGTCTGAGATGGGGTCCAAGAATTTGTATTTCTAACAAGTACCAGGGTCATGCTGATGCTGCTGGTCTAGGAACTACACTTTAGAAAGCACTAAATTAGTGGCTTTTCTATAAAACTGTAAAAGCTTCGGGAAAAAAATTGCATGTTGCCATTTATCTTCTTTTATTATTCACAGAAACTATACAGTAAACATTAATAGAAGTCTATTCAAATGAATATACTGAAGACTGGTTACTTATACGTGATTTACTTCCCCTCTCTGAGTAAGGATGTGCAGAAATGAGCCACTGACAACAAATAAGTTCTAACAGCTTTCATCATTATTAATTCCACTGTTGATTCCTTATCTAGAGATATTACTAAATATCACAACCATAATATGTGATATTTAATAATAAAGAGTTTCAGCAAATGCAACTGATCATTATTAATAAAAGACCCAATTTTAATATTTGAACTGTTTTTTTTTTTAAAATTGAGCTCCTAGTACGTCAGAGACCTTGATGGGCAGTCAATAAACAAAGGTAAGCAAAACATCTGTGCCTCACACTTAACAGAAGGAGTCAAAACAGACATATAATGAAATGGTCACTATGAGATAAATATTGCTAATTGAAATTATATATGTGAGAGGAAGTGGCAGGATAAAGGAGAAAATGACTAACAGTCTGCTGAGGTCATAAAAGGTATCTCAGAAGAGGGAATAACTTGAATTTAGTCCTAAAGAATGAGTAGGCATTCACTAGATAAACAAGAAGACATTGGTTATTCCAGACATCATACTGTAACAGAACCAAGGCACAAATTAGCCTGAAATATCAATAAAAATACCAGGTAACACAAAATCCAAAGAATTCAAATTAGATTTGAGCAACATTTTCTCACTTAAAACTGAAAGCTTATTCTTAGTTATTCAAGAGACTTAAGTCTATATATTATTTAGACTTTTTTTCTTTCATTTATTAGTACTAAAGACATCTTGGTAAATTTACCAAGTTAATCAGATAGTGAGCAATGGGCAGGAAATGAAAACTATAGTCAATCTGTGTTATTCAAAAATATATAGTCAAAGTTTAAATTATTCAGTTTGAGATTCTGTTATAAACAATTTCATAATTAAAGCATTTATATTGAGCATATTCTTACTGTTAATAACCTGCAAAACATGCACAATAGAAAACAGTTTATATCAATAGCTAGTTCCATAAAAGAACAACACAGCTAAAAATTTGGGGTAATAGTCATAAAAGGCCAAGTCATGTTCTAAACATGAAATTAAAATTATTTTTATCTTCCCCTCTCTTTTTGTGGCCAACTCCCATCTACATGAAGCATCACCTCATGCCTGGTCTTTAGTTAGGACTAATGATCAAATTGAATAATGATGCCAGAATTTCTCTATACTACAGTATAGAGAAATTCCAACATCCTGAAAACTGAAGAAATTTGAAAAATATATAGAAGGTACTAAAAGGAGAAAGAGCATCCCAGGGCCCTGGAAATTGGCAAGGCTACCATAGCAAATGCCTAAAATTTTCTGAAACATACGCAATATGAAAGTTGAAAAGGACGTCTTCATGGGTAGTAAATTCTTTCCCCAATCCAGCTCTCAAATCCTAAATTATTGGACGTAAAAGGTCACTTAATAACTCCTTGATAAGAGATTTCTTTCAAGTGAATTTCATTCTCAAAGGTGATAGAAAACACAGGACAGCTAGCACGGATAGGCTGATGCCCGGAAGATGAAATAACAAGCACTCTAATTTGCCATTCTGCTCTTCCTGCAGAAAACATGGAACATCTGCTGTACTCCATGGCTGATAGCCACAATATATATCTAGATCATAAGATAAAGGATTGAGTCCTGGGCATAGTTTTTCCTGGGAAAAATATGAAAGAAAATAATTTCTATCTCTTCATGAATATTCTCTATTTGACTGTCATTATACTTCTCTTCAGTTCTTTAAACATAGCTGCTACATCCCCAGGGCTGCCTCAGGAGGTTTCTAGTAACTCATTTTTCATGTGTATGGATCACACTTTACTGTTTCTTTGCATGTCTCATAATTTTTTGTTGAAAACAACAATTTAGATAAAAATTGTAGCAATTCTGGGTTCTCACTCATTACCAAGTTGTTTTGGATTCTTTGTTTAGTGACTTGCCTGGACCTATGCTGTGAAGTCTGTTTCCCTTGCACTGTGTAGTTGCTGGTGTCTCTTCATTTTTATTTTTTCAATTTTTGTTTCTATTTTTAAGCCTGGCCTCCTAGGGGTTGCCCCTGCGTCAACATAGCTTGATGACCAACAAATGATTGGTCAGAGTCAATAATCCTATAACGTTTCCATCTTTTGCCAGTGGACCTATGTGTGGCTTAGGGAATACATTCAAAGTTTATCTGGTTGATAAATCTGCCCTAGAACTTGCTTTCTGCCTTCATAAGGCCTCACACTCAGCCATGGAGTAGTGGCTCCCTAACACGCTCTCTGGTCTCTCCTGAACATGTTTACAGCCTTATGCATACACATAATGTTCTAGACTACCAGGGATACATAGAACTTTATCAAGGACAACTGTGGCTATCTTGTCCTTGGATATTTGTTGTCTGCCCCAGTAAGCGGTAAGTAAGACCTCAAGCCCTCCCTTATTGTTTGCCAGTGGGATCATTATTGTTTCCATTAATCCCTCCACACATGAAATTTCCTATGCTATGCGCCATATAAAGTCAGTCCCCTCTGGCAGCAGAGCTGCCTGTCTTTTGGTGTGACTGCCTCAGTAGAACTTTTGTGCTGAGGAGCTGGGGGTTGGGGGGTGGGGACTGGAGCTCCAGGCAAAATGCCACAGACTCCTACTGCTCTCATTGAGCTTCAGTAGATTTTCTTGATAAACCCTTCTCAATTTGTTATATTCCTTTGGTCAATTTCCAGAGTCCTTAAATTGTTGTTTTTGACAATTCTGCTCAATTTTGTTGCTTTCGGAGGAGAGGATTTGCTGAGCTCCTCACTCAGCCATTCCAGAGGTCCATGCAGACTTCCTCTTGACCCCTGTGTCAATGGATGTCTGCAGAGGGGTAATTTTTAGCCAAGATCTCAAGTTCCCTCTTGATTTCTGCTGATAGAAGCCTTAAGGCAAGCAAGTGGGTGACTACTGTGACTGCGGGTTCTCTCATCTTTGAGATGGAAAGTAGAATTGGGTGACTTCTTGGCCTACTATATAATATGACTTAGGGATAAAACTAAAATAATACCCTGATCAGTTAAGTAGCTTCTGGAGCTAATAGCAAAGACACTCTTATAAAATGTCTTGAAGCACTGACCATACTTGTCCTATTGGTCCAAGTATGTCCTACTGGTCCAAGAGAAGCAGCAAGGAATATAAAGTAATCTCAGAAATGTGTAAGCAGAACTTTCCTAATGCTCTGCTTAACTCTCTCACTTGAGAGGTACTAAAACAGTCTCAGGTGACCAAAAGCTTAGCCATTAACATTGCTTGGTGAACTGGAAAAAGAACCAATACTAAGGTTTATGGCAAACTTTAAATAGAAACCAATGCTTTTCAAAATATGGTCCTTATATTACCTTCACTAGAATCATTCATGATACTTTTTAAAATGCAGATTTCTAGGTCACACCTCTGTATGTTAGGAACCAGAATCTATGGAGGTAGAAAGTAGAAATCTATATCTTTAAGAAGCATATTATACATACAAAAGTTTGAAAATCAGACCCTTTGCTTTATCAACCCTACTCACTTCTTACCCCAGTGAGAATTAATTATGTGGATACAGAAGGCAAAATTGGGATGCTAATCCATATACCGGAAATCTAAGAATTAGAAGTTTAAGTAACAACAATAAAGGGTACAAATTCTTCATCAAGGTATGCACTTCCTTGGCCCTTCCTTTTCCCATTTGGATTGCTTTTTCTTCAAACTCATTTAAAATACACTACTTTCCTTCATGAGAGACCTAGGTTTCCTCAAGGATGGGAAGCAGTAACTTTGGACAGGAGTTCAGACTTATACTCTGTGTAAGGGACAAAAGAAAAAGTCCTCACATGTTTATGGAATGCCTAGCCTAGCTTACCAGGGCAAATATCAGAGATTTCAGTCCAAAACACCAGTTAGCAATAAAACATATTCCATTATCTGGAGCTTTTTTCTTACACTTGTTTTTCAGGAAACTTAGGAAGGTGGAAGCCATATAGTAATCAGTGGCATAGCATCAAAGGCCTCAGAGAAACTTTAATTATATAAACTCACAATTTACATTCAGTTTTTAATACCACACTTAATGGCAATTAACATAAAGTTTTCAAAAGTCTTCATGAGATTTGCTAGTATAATTTTGCAAAAACTGTATTATTACTAACATTTCTGAAATTTTAGGCTAGAAGAACTGAATTTCTCTTATTAACATAAGAGAAAAATAAAAAAATAAAAATAAAAAAGGCTTACTCATGATCTAAATTTTTTTTTTTTTGTGGTACGCGGGCCTCTCACTGTTGTGGCCTCTCCCGTTGCGGAGCACAGGCTCCGGACACGCAGGCTCAGCGGCCATGGCTCACGGGCCCAGCCGCTCCGAGGCATGTGGGATCTTCCCGGACCGGGGCACGAACCCATGTCCCCTGCATCGGCAGGCGGACTCTCAACCATTGCGCCACCAGTGAAGCCCTCATGATCTAAATTTTGAAACCTGTTGTTTACTCATCTATTCAGGATGAGAATAAATACATCCTGAAGTAAGTCCTGAATATGTGGATTTGCAAGGCAGCCAAATACACTAGAAATCTTAAGTAGGATGAAAGGCACCACCATTAACTGACTATATTTGTTTTCACTGAAAATTTTCAGTAAGGCAAACATTAAAATACTATAATAGGATTTTACATAGTTAAAATAAAATATAAATAAATAAATATTGAGTCTAAATTTGCCACAAATCCTGCATATTAAAAACCAGGTTATTTTTATACTAACTATGAGAAGATCTCTATACACTGTATTAATCAAGCTCATACCTATACTCTGGGTCACTGTCATAGGCAGAGTCTCTATATAAAAGACCTCTTTTCAATTCCAGTTCATCTTCTTTCTCTGGGTCTCTCTCATCCTGAAAAATTTAAAGATTTCCATTAATTTATTTTATAATTAAAATGACACCCATGTTTCTGTGGTAATTGTTCTCCCCCTCCCCCAATGAAAGGAATTGAATTAAATGCTGGATTTCTTAGGAAAGGAACAAAAGGGTTAGTGAGAATTTACTATTCTGTTCAATGAAACTAATACAGTTTTATTATAGTATTACTAATACTGCTTATCAAAGACTAGAAACACAGTAGATGTTTCTTGAATCAATGAATAAATAGAAATGGATACTGTGTCAAGATATGTAATAAGATGTGTAGTAGGTAATAGCCTACACATTGTTATGTGGACTCCTAAAAGATTATACCTGCACTCTGAAAAATAAGTATTTGGGAAAACTATGTAAATCTAAGCATTTTAACACATACCTATTACTTACGAAGGAAGTGATTTAGAATTATTATGTGTACACCAAAATGCAGTAACAAGCCACAAGAAGTAAAAATGAAAGACAGGGTAGTTGGAATCAAAACACACGGCTCCTCCTCCTTCTATGCGCAGGCTGTTCTTTACTTCTGAGAGACCAACTCAAGGGCATAAGAAATAGAATTCTAAAGAGATAGCTTTGTAAACTATGTCATTCACAGTAAGGATGTTCTTACATATGGTAATTTTATATAATTTAGTATCAAATATCTTTCTCAACTACTAGCTAATACCCTTTTCTGTAGTCAAACAGGAACAGAAATAAAGAGAACTGATGGTAAAAGGAACCAGTAAGCACAGATTGCTGTAGGGATTAGTATTAATAAGGTGCTCATTCACTTTATGTAAGAAATCAGCTGAACAAAGATTATCAAAGATTAGATCACTCCCTAACACCATACACAAAAATAAGCTCAAAATGGATTAAAGACCTAAATGTAAGGCCAGAAACTATCAAACTCTTAGAGGAAAACATAGGCAGAACACTATGACATAAATCACAGCAAGATCCTTTCTGACCCAGCTCCTAGAGAAGTGGAAATAAAAACAAAAATAAACAAATGGGACCTAATGAAACTTCAAAGCTTTTGCACAGCAAAGGAAACCATAAACAAGACCAAAAGACAACCCTCAGAATGGGAGAAATATTTGCAAATGAAGCAACTGACAGAGGATTAATCTCCAAAATTTATAAGCAGCTCATGCAGCTCAATAACAAAAAAACAAACAACCCAATCCATAAATGGGACAAAGACCTAAATAGACATTTCTCCAAAGAAGATATACAGACTGCTAACAAACACATGAAAGAATGCTCAACATCATTAATCATTAGAGAAATGCAAATCAAAACTACAATGAGATATCATCTCACACCAGTCAGAATGGCCATCATCAAAACATCTACAAACAATAAATGCTGTAGAGGGTGTGGAGAAAAGGGAACACTCTAGCACTGCTGGTGGGAATGTGAATTGGTACAGCCACTATGGACAACAGTATGGAGGTTCCTTAAAAAGCTACAAATAGAACTACCATACGCCCCAGCAATCCCACTACTAGGCATATACCCTGAGAAAACCATAATTCAAAAAGAGTCATGTACCAAAATGTTCATTGCAGCTCTATTCACAATAGCCAGGAGATGGAAACAACCTAAATGTCCATCATCAGATGAATGGATAAAGAAGATGTGGCACATATATGCAATGGAATATTACTCAGCCATAAAAAGAAACGAAATTGAGCTATTTGTAATGAGGTGGATAGACCTAGAGTCTGTCATACAGAGTGAAGTAAGTCAGATAAAGAAAGACAAATACCGTATGCTAACACATATATATGGAATTTAAGAAAAAAAAATGTCATGAAGAACCTAGGGGTAAGATAGGAATAAAGACACAGACCTACTACAGAATGGACTTGAGGATATGGGGAGGGGGAAGGGTAAGCTGTGACAAAGCGAGAGAGAGGCATGGACATATATACACTACCAAATGTAAGGTAGATAGCTAGTGGGAAGCAGCCGCATAGCACAGGGAGATCAACTTGGTGCTTTGTGACTGCCTGGAGGGGTGGGATAGGGAGGGTGGGAGGGAGGGAGACGCAAAAGGGAAGAGATATGGGAACATATGTATATATATAACTGATTCACTTTGTTATAAAGTAGAAACTAACACACCATTGTAAAGCAATTATACTCTAATAAAGATGTAAAAAAAAACAAAAAAGATTATCAAGAAAAATGATTTTAAAAATTTGGTGATGGCATGAAATTAGGAAGAGAGCATTCAGTTAAAAAATGTAAGCAATACATAATAGAGCAAGTTTTAAAATCACAGAAACTGTGAATATATATTTAGAATTATTATAACTTCTAGGTGAATTGAGCCCTTTTACTGTTATGAAGTAACTCCATTTATTTCTATTAATGCTTTTTCCCTTAACATTTTTTTGGTTTACCATTGATATAGCTACAATAGCTTTCCTTTAGTCAGTGCTTGGATGATATATATTTGTACTTTTATTTTTAACTTTTCCTTATTATTATGTTTACATCTTTTTCTTAAATAGTATATAGATGGATGTTGCTTATTTTTGTCCAGTCTGATAAGCCAATGAAGTAGAGCATTTACTCTATTAATATCACAGAAAATGTAATCACCTGTAATGAGTACAAAAGACACTGCAAAGGAAAGTGTAAGAAATAAGACACTATGTTAATATGTTTTCTTCAGAAATAGAGTATATTGCAAGAAAAACTGAATGAAAGAGATGTAAATGATGTTGAATTTTAAAATTCTATCCTTGGAAGAAATATTAATTTCTAGATTATATGATAAGTGATATCAGACATAAACATAAATCAATATTCCTGGTTTAATTTTGTCAATACAGTTGAAAAAAATAATTTTTGACCAGGAGTAATAAAAAATGTAGACTAAATTTTAAAAGTTTATATATGAAAAAAATACAAAAGGGCCTTAGAAATCTGAACCTCAATTATTCATTGAATAATACCCCTATTTTGAGCTGGGTACTTACTATCCTAGACTCTGTGAGGATAGAAAGATGACTAAGACATGATTCCTGCACACATGTGGAATAAAGTTTGTCTCTTCTGTGAATCTCTATGAGTAGAATGGATCAACAGGTAGAATTATTATAGGATATAATAAAGGACAAAATGAGGAAGAACTGCCTAATTAATAGAGCATTCTAAAAACAGAATGACTGTCGTAAGAGGGAGTAAGGGCACAATCACTAAAGCTATTCACATAGAGCACTAATACCTATCTAGAATCAAGGAATTCAGGAAGGAGAATTCTGCCCCAAGAAACAAAAAGGACTATATGGCCTTCACGGTTATTCTCTTCAAATTTTAAGACCATTTCGTGACATTTATATATATTCAAACACATACATATCTCTTATAAGCATCCTTGTGTAAGCTTTTTTTAAAAAGATCAAGTTATAAAAAAGCAGAGAGGCAACCAACATCATACCTATCATAAGCCATTAACTATGACTAAAACAAGTATTAGAAGAGGTATATCATTCCCATTAGTGCCAGAAAAATATATTTCCGGAGCATAGGGAAGTGATTCCCCTCTTATTTCTCACCGACATTCCCATTTGTCCACATGTAAACACAAGAAAAGATGGATGACATCAATATTTGTTCAGTTCCTTCAAGGTATCTAGGACTGAGTTAGGTACTTCTTAAATGAATATCTTGTAAGCCTTCAATAACCTTATGAAAAAGGTACTGCAACTTGGAAAAATTAACAACATGCCCAAAGATACAAGTTATTAAGTGGCAGAGCTGGAACTTAAACCCAGATCTAACTTTATTTACATTATACTCCCTCCTGAAATGCAAGTAAGATGGACTATAAAATAAAAATCTCCATTCCAAACCATTAGATTATTCTCCAGTATGAAAATTAAGCTCAAACTCTTTCAGCTAATATCTATTCAGTTCATTTTTTATGAGGGTATTCTGAAATAATTTAGCCCAGAAGAATTTTTTTTAGGATTTCCATGAAGAAACAGTTTTCTTTCAGCAAAAGTCATTAATAAAATGACGTACTATTAGAAGAAGCTGTGGGCTCTCCTTCCCTGAAACTGGCAGTAAGTTAAATGTTCTCTTAAGATTCCTGTCACCAATGATCACTATCTTATACATGTAACTGACATCATTCTTAGAACACCCCTGGAACAAAGAAATAAAAGATACCCATACATGCTTGCAAACTGAAAAATTTAGGACAACAGTGATTCAATAGTCTATGATAGGGCTTCCCTGGTGGAGCAGTGGTTAAGAATCTCCCTGCCAGTGCAGGGGACACAGGTTCGAGCCCTGGTCCGGGAGGATCCCACATGCCGCGGAGCAACTAAGCCCACGGGCCACAACGGCTGAGCCTGCGCTCTAGAGCCTGCGAGCCACACCTACTGTGCCTGCATGCTGCAACTGCTGAAGCCCGCGTGCCTAGAGCCCGTGCTCCGCAACAAGAGAGGCCACCGCAATGAGAAGCCCGCGCACCACAATGAAGAGTAGCCCCCGCTCGCCGCAACTAGAGAAAGCCTGCGCGCAGCAACGAAGACCCAATGCAGCCAAAAATAAATAAATTTTAAAAAGAAAAGCAGCAGCCAAACCACAGCTGCAGCCAGTTAAAAAAAAAAAGTCTATGATAAAGCAAGAACTAAAAGGTAGTCATCTCACTAATTAAATAGTACTTAATAAAACATACACCTGTCATTCTCAAATGAAATTCTCATATATAGTTTAAAAACCTATAAGATGTGTTTCATTGCTGTCAAATTCAAAACACTATTTATAATGAAGTGTGTACAAGAACAAGAATTCCAATAGAATTTAACCACTAGTTCTAATTTGCATTATCACCCTGGACAATTAATGCTTCAATTTCCTAAATCGTAATGTAGAGAAAATTTAGAGTTGTTCAAAGTCACAAAGATAAGAAGTTGCAGAGCTGGCCTTGAACCAGGTTTTTCTAATTCTATAAACTGATTTAT